CTTACCTCAATCCTGGGGAAGCTCTTTGAGAAGATCATCAAGGAGCACATTTGTGATGGGCCGGCATCCGAGATGATGCTCAGGGGCAATCAGCATGGATTTATTAGGGGGAGATCATGTCAGACCAACCTGATTGCCTTTTATGATCAGGTCACAAAGGCCATGGATGCAGGTGTCGCGGTGGATGTAGTCTTTCTGGACTTCAGCAAGGCCTTTGACACCGTCTCTCACCCCATCCTAATTAGTAAACTAGGCGACTGTGGCATAGATGCCTACACGGTCAGATGGATTGCAGATTGGCTGAAGGGTCGCACTCAGAGGGTGGTGGTGGATGGATCATATTCGACTTGGGGGGAGGTGGGTAGTGGAGTCCCTCAGGGCTCGGTCCTGGGCCCTGCGCTGTTCAATGTCTTCATCAGCGATCTTGATGTTGGGGTGGAGAGCAACCTGTTTAAATTCGCTGATGACACCAAAATTTGGGGGGAGGTGAGCACGCTAGCAGGGAGAGAGAGATTGCAGAAGGATCTGGATAGGTTACAGGGGTGGGCAGACAGGAACAGGATGCGTTTCAATACGGACAAGTGCAGGGTGCTGCACTTGGGTAGTAGGAACCAGCAGCACACTTATACGATGGGGAACTCCCTACTTGAGAGCACGGAGGCGGAAAGGGATCTTGGTGTCATTATTGACTCCAAGATGAACATGGGCCGACAATGCGAGGTCATGGTTGGCAGGGCTAACCGGACCTTGTCGTGCATCCACAGGTGCATCTCGAGTAGAGCCAGGGAGGTGATCCTCCCCCTCTATGCGACGCTGGTCAGGCCGCAGCTGGAGTATTGTGTCCAGTTCTGTGCGCCCCATTTCAGGAGGGATGTGGACAACATGGAGAGGGTCCAGAGGAGGGCCACCCGCATGATCCGGGGACAACAGGGCAGACCCTACAGTGAGAGACTGCGGGACTTGAACCTATTCAGCCTCCACAAGAGAAGGCTGAGGGGGGACCTGGTGACCGTCTATAAACTCACTAGGGGGAACCAGAAGGGTTTGGGGGAGACGCTGTTTCCCCTAGCCCCTGCTGGCATAACAAGGAATAATGGGCACAAGTTGATGGAGAGGAGGTACAGATTGGACATCCGAAAAAACTACTTCACAGTCAGGGCGGCTAGGAGCTGGAACCAACTTCCAAGGGAGGTGGTGCTGGCCCCTACCCTGGGGATCTTTAAGAAGAGGCTGGATACTTACCTGGCTGGACTCATTTGAGTCCCGTTTTTGTTTTTAGGGTGAGTGGTTTTGTTTGTGTTTTTGGGTTGTTCTCCCGCCCTGGCGGGGGGTCGGGCTAGAAGATCTATTAGGTCCCTTCCGACCCTGAAACTATGAAACTATGAAACTCCCTGCATGTATATCCCTGTGATGGGCACGGGCAGGTCCTACTGCCTGCCCCCAGCAGTGGGCACAGGGTGGATGGACTGGGGTGCCTATCCCCAGCAGTGGGTCCAGTGGCAGAGATACTGGCAGCATCAGGAGGAGCAAAACCCTCTAGCCCCCCAGCTCCAGCTTTGCTCCTAGCAGGAGAATCAGCACACCCCCACCGAAAGCCCCAGCCTTAGCTGTAGCCCAGTCCGTACCCTCTTCTGCAAGTCTGGGTTGCCTTGCCTCCCTTCAGGTGCCAGTTCAGCTCCTGGAGTGTCTCATGGAGCGACACCAGAGATGTTTGATGTCCTGGAAAGGCTTGAGCATTGTACAGAGGATTTCCTGCTGTGGGGAAATGCCCGGCAAGGCCAGGGCGAAAGGCTTCAGAGTTTTGCACGGGGGTTTTGCAAATGGGATCCGCCACTGAAGAGGCACGAATGCCACGAGGTGGTGGCGGAGCTGAGCCATCTGAGACGGCTCCCAGCCAGAGCAGGTGTAAGCCCCAATACCCCACAGCTGCTGCAGGAGATGCAATGGGCTTGCCAGGCTGAGTTGCAGAGACCTGGAAGTTTCCTTATTGGGCAAATCTATTCCAGGTGTCAGCGGGCACGGGAAACCCTGCCGAGTCTGCCTGGATGCCACGGCAGGGCACAGACACGCCTGAAGGGGTGGCTTGCATGGCACCAGTGCTCCAGTGCTATGGACTTTAATGGGAGAGAGACACGTTGGATCTTCCCTTTCCCCTCCCAAACATCCCCCCACCATTGCCACAGCCCAAGGGGATCATTTAGGGCCCTGGCTCTGAGATCCCAGTGGCGAGAGCCCCTGTGGCACCACTACGTGACTTTTCCAGCACTGGGCTCTGCTGCCTCCATAGAGACGACCTTGGACCATGAGCTCGAGGGTTTTGGAAACTCTCAGGACCGGTGGGGAGATGTGGAGAGTCCCCCTCCAGGCTCCTCACCTCAGGATGGAGCCGACTCCCCCAGCCACTGCCGTGGGTACCCAGGCCAGGACAGGGCTGGGAGTCTCCGTGGCCTAGGACACATGTCCACGGGCTCGGGGAATGGCTATGGAAGGAAAGCCACGCGGTGACGGGCGCTGCAAGACGGGCTGGGAGCAGAGAGCTTTCCCCGTCAGCTGGAGGGACCAAGGCTATTGTGTAAGGAGCTGCAGAAATATGGCAGTGCATTGAGAAACACCGCTGCAGAAAGCTCCACCTGCCTGTGCTTTCCTGAACGTGCAGAGTCTCTGTGTCCCTGGAAGACCTTGCCTGAATCGCCTTATGCAACAGGGCTATCCCCAGCTCCGACCTGCCAGGAAGTTTTGCACGGCATCCTGTGTGCTGAGGATCACCTGGGCAAGTCCTGCCCTTACCCTGCGGTGGACTCTCCATCCCTGCATACTTTGCAAGAGCAGATTGTGGCCAGGATGGTTTAGGCTGGGATGATCCTGTCTTGGGCTAGATGCGACTTCAGGAGGGCCCTGCCTTCCTCTTATTTCAGTCTCCTCTGAGCATTGCTTTCAGCTCACACCGGCATCTGCTGCAATGACAGGAGGGGTCTGATCCCTTCCCGCAGCCTGCCCGGTGAGCGGGGGGCAGAGAGCAGCTATCCCGGGATTTCTGCTGAGCCCCGTTGGGCCGGGAGGACAGGACAACATGCACAGGGGCTGGCCCCCCATTTCCCAAGTGCTTGAAACACGTGAGCGGGGGTCTGCAGGGCTGGCTGTTCCTGGGATGGGGGTGGGAGAGGGGCTGTGTCTGACCGTGGTGGAAACACACCTGAATCCCCCCCTCCGAATGCTCTAAAAGGATAGACAGCCACCCCCACCTGCAATAGGGACAGCCCCCTCTCCCCCTCCTCCGCACACCTAGGTGCCCTGGAGCACCTCTGTCCGTGCAAAAGGCTGATCTTATCCATGCACCACTGGACTGGGACTCAGGAGATCTCCACGATTCCCTGGAAGGCCTTGGTCATGTCCCTCTATCTCTGCCTGCCTCAGTGTGCCCCTCTGGACAATGGGGACAATGATCTTTTCCTCCCCACCTTCAGACTGGGATCCGTGTAGAGAAGGGACCGTCTCTGTGCAGCCCCGAGCGCGGCAGGGCCGGGGGCTCAGATGGGGGTGCCAAGCGCCTGCTGTTTTGCCGTCCTCCTGTTCTCTGTGCTGCGGCCTGGGCTTTGCTGCAAGGGCAGCACCGGGTAAAACCCTTTGCTATTCTCCACCCAGGCTGCAGCCACCTGGTCCCGAGTAGAGGAGCTCTGAAAATCCCTGGCGAGACTTTGCTGCGACCCAAGTGTCGTGTTTAATACACCTTAGGTTCGTCCGACTTTCCCTAAACCCTGGTGCAGACTCATGACATGGCCTCTCCCAGCATTAGTGACACTGCAGGCTACCGTGTCCCTGGCACAGTCTCCAGTGCGGCTCTGTCCCAGAGGTGCAGTCTACATACTCCAGGGCCCTGGAGGCACTCGGGTCTCTGGACAGTCACATTTGAGCCAGGACTTCATCCTGGGAGGCCTGCGGACCCCAGCTAGGTTCAGGCCTCTTGGTCTTTCTAAGCTCCCTGCTTTAGATCGAAGAAGGGGAGCCCTGAAGTCCTAGAGGTGGGCTTTGCAGGGTGGGTGGCTCCGGGGCTGAGACGGTCTCACACAGGTGCTGCAAACCCCCTGCTTTTCCTTGTGGTGTAACACCCTCTGCTTCTGCACGGAGCCCCATCAGAGCTCTTCCACCCACGACTGACCCGGTCCTTCTCCGTGTCCACCGAATTTAGGCACAGAGCAGTGGGTCAGCCTGGAAGGGGGGAGAGCTGCTCTCTTGGTGGGAATGCTAGCAGGGTTTGAAGGGAGGAAGGAAAAGCCCTGGGAGGCAGTGCAAAAATGGGAGAAGAAGACAAAGCATGCGTTTGAAAGGGGTGTTGTTGGGGAAATGGGCAGGAGGAAAAGAGGGCAGAAATGCAGGTCGGAGCAGGCAGGCCCCTAAAGGGGAGGCCTGGGGTCCAGGGCTTTGCTGAGATGATGCTCAGGAGAAGCCAGAGGGTAACCGCAGGTGGCAGAGATGCAAGGGAAGGCAGGCTGGGGGCTGTTTGCATGGGCCAGAGGAAGCCAGGGGGAAGGAGGCTGAAGCCGCGGAGACGAGAGGCTGGCCCAGATGCCTGCCTGCTCTGATCCAGCTGTGCTTTTTTTGTCTTGCCATCAGCCTGGCCCCTGGGTTGGGAAGTCCTGGGTACTGAAATCTAGCTTTGCCCTAGCGAGGGAGTCCTGAAGGCACCCAGCTCCTACCGGGGTGGGCTACGATCCCCCCTGACGCCAGCCTCGGGGCAAGGGGAGGCACTTCAGGCCCCTCCTGCAGCATGGAAGGGCAAGGAAGGATGAAAACACGGCATCCCAGGTTGAAAATTGCTTTTTTATTAGACAGAGCAGCTCCAGGGGTCGTCCTTGAAGGAAGCAGGCAGCGAAGCAGTGTGGAACGGCGTGTGCCCCAAGCAGCCAGTCGATGCAGCTTCCAGCCACGTGCCACGGGCAGCGCCGTGAGGGCTGGGCTGCTTGCACCAATATCCAGGTTTTCCCTAGAGAGCGGGGTCCTACTGGTTCCTGTTGAGGTGAGCCCGAATGCCCCAGCCAGCCGCTTTTAGACCTCCTCTCAGAAGCCAAAGCCATCGGGTGACCCGGACAGGCTGTAAGGAGAAGTGCATTAGTATGTCCACGGAGACTGGCCACGGGTCAGCGGTGATGGCCCGGGGTTTGTGGTCTAACGCTGGCTGCTATCTAGGTGGAGAGCTGAGTTTCAGAGCGGGGCACGGGCACTGAGGACTCAGGAAGACCGAGGGGTGGATGGTCTGTGGTGCTGGGTGCGGTGGCACCTGTAGTGGCGGCAGGTTGGGGCAGGGCCATCTTTCCGGTGCTGGTTCTGCCCGCATACGGGAGACCTTACATTAATGGCGCCTGTGCCCAGGCAGGACGGGGACTCCCAGCTGCAGGGCGGATCGCCTGCGGTCCCAGATAACTGTGTGCTGTCCTTCTAGGTCTGATCCGGCCCCCCATCGAAGTCAACAGAAAGAAGCTCAGAGACTTCGCTTGGCTTTGGATGAGGCTTGGGTTGGGTTTGACGCTAGACTCTTCTTGGCCAAGCCCAGCCAAGGCAGGCCCCGTGATGGAGGAGAGAGAAAGCGGCCCCCATACAGCCCCGTAGGTGTGGTGGGATGGTAGGGGCCACGTTCTCCTCCGCCTCCCACTCCCTCCCAGCATCACGCAGCCAAGTACCAGTGGTACCTTGACCTCTCTCCCGGTTGGGTTGGACTCCTCTTTCTAGGGCAGGGCGCTGTGTGGCCCATGGAGGGGATGTGCGGGGTAAACTTTCGTCACAGCACCAGGAGATGCCCCAGTGGCGTTTGCACCCAGGAAGCCCCAGCCAGGACCCCGCAGGGAGAGGCATCGCCCAACCCATTCCTAGGAGCAAGAAGACATCCCTGCCCCACCTTGCTGGGTTGGAAAGCTCACCTCCGAGGGGGCCTCCTCACAGGTGACCACGATGAGAGGAGCCACTTGCTGGGCGGAGAAGAAGCCCACGCATGCTCTGACCAGCTGCGGGGAGGGGAAAGCAGAGTCGTTAGCTCTGGGCGCCCCAACGAGGCTGAAGTCTGGTCCTTGGAGACCTTCGTGTGTGCCTCCAAGTGTGGCGGAGGCAGGGCTCCAGGGGGAAGAGAAGGACGTGAGGGCTTTTCCTGCTAATCTGATTTACGCTCCGTTGGGCCCGAAAGGAAGAGGACGGTTGCAAACAATGAAGTCATGAAAAGCGGATCTCCTCACTCCGTGCCTGCCTCTGAACTCAGATGAACCTCACCGCGGACATCTGATTGCATTGGCATACCGGGGCCTACCCAACGTGCCCCAGGACGTTAGGAAATGGGGCACCGGTCTCTATCCGATGCACTGAGCACCTCTGGCTCCCCTTCGCTTCCAGGGCAGGTCGGGGTTTTCAGCACCCCTGAAACCACATGCTTATTTGGGGACCTAGGGAGAGAGATTGCGGAGCTGAGAGCATTTGAGTTGGATCGAATTGGCTTGCGGTATTTACTCGAATCCAAGATGAGGCCGTTTCCTTGTTCCCCATGGAGGAAACAGAGTCTCATCTTAGACCTGAGCACCAGCCCGGGGCAGGCGGGTGCAGCGGCCCTGGCGCTGGGACTGGGCTTGCAGCCCCTGCCTGCCCTGGGCTGGGGTGCTGGAGGGGGGCACGGGGGAGACCATGCAGTGTGCTGGGGGGTGCATAGGGGAGACTGCTCAGTGTGTGGGGGTACAGGGTGCGGGGTCGACTGCTCCCACCCTGACCTGGCCCAGAGCTACCGCTGCTGCCTGGCTGGGACTGGGCCCAGGGCTAATGCACTGGGCAGCCATTGGCAGGGGGAGCTAGTGGTGGAGAGCAGGAATAGCCTGGGTCAAGTATCTGGGGAGACAAGCAATAGGGGGACAGGCACCCATGAGGGGCAAATTATAACAAATTTACACTTTTCCAGATATAGGCACGTTTGCACTGCCTCTGAAGTCAGAGGAAAACGTCCTTCAGCAGCGCAGGAGGACCGTTTCAACGTGCAGCGATGCTCACAGCAGCTCACAGCACATCGGCTCCGGGAGGATTCGGCGTCCGATTCTAGTTCACGGCCTCCCAATGCACACTAAGTGTCTGCACAAGCCTGCCGGGTACGTGGTCCTGGCTGGTGGCCCTGGCCCGGGGCTCAGTAGTATTGGTCATTGGAGGAGATGGGTGTTAAAGCAGGGGACAGCCCCCCTCCCCCCCATCTACTCCTTACCCCGTTTTCTTTGAACTGGCATGGCCCTTGAGTGGGTTGGCCCCCAACAGGACACGTGGTCTCCATGATGGTGAAATTCAGCCGCCGAAACTCAAACGGGCTGGAGACCTGTAGGTAAAAACAGTTGCATTTCTGGGGGAAGCAAGAGGGAGAAAGCCTTTTGTCCTGGGATCCTACAAGCCCGCTGTCCCTCTTGCAAACCCTGTGAAATATGTGAGAGAAAAGAGATGGACAATATATTTGAACTTGAATGAACTTGGCAATGGACTTGACTGCACCCCTGGACAATGCCGTGCAGTTCAAGTTCATTGCCGGAGGGGTGAGTAAGGGGCCGTGCCCTTCCTCCTTTGTCCCAGAATCGCCTTCAATGAGACGGCTGTTTATACACTGAGAAGACAAGCAGGTAAAAGTAAAAAACCCAGGTAAACTTCTTGCAGCAAGGCTGGACCAACAAGAGGATACACACACACACACACACACACACACATGCACGTGCACACACACTCTCGTGCTCCTGGACAATTTACACCATAACTTAGGCAGAGGGGAAATTTCTCTCTAGCTGCACGCTGTTGGTGGTTGGCACAGGCCCGGCACCAGGACTGCTCTGTCCCATCTAGATGGTTTTGTGCTGGTTTCTTTAACTCCCAGTATCCTTATTGCCGTGCAGATGTCTCAGTCTAACCTCTGCCATGTGGTTCAGCAAACTGCTTTTAAGCAAGCCTTGGCAGCAGCTAAGGGCTGCATCTGCTTCATGCCAGCCCAGACAACGTGGCAGGATTGCACTGACTGGGTGCATCTACACGTTCATTAATGCACCTTAGTTATTGTGCATTTAGCTTAGTACTTGCTTAATAAAGTACTAACTAAATGCACAGCACCAAGAGTGACTGTGCAGTAGTGCCGGCACACCATTATTTTGTGCTGCTTACTGCGCATTAGTCTAGTAACACTCGTTATTAGGCTAACGTGCAGTAAGTGTCTCGTGTAGATGCACCCAGTGTGACTGTGCATCGCTTTGGGGTCTTTCCCCTATAATTACGGTTTCAATGATGCCTGGGGGCAGCACCGGGGTCCTGCCCAGACGCTGCGCACTGAGCCAGATTCGTGGTTAGCACCAAGGAAAGGCCTTTTTGATTCCTTTAGTGCTTGTCATTTGTGCAAGAAAGCAACTCCCTGCGAGGCTGGGGAGGCTTCGGAGGCTGGGGGCGGTTGTGCTATACAGTGGGGCGGGTTGTTACTGTTATACCAGCAGCAGCAATAAATTCCAGCATTTATTCATGCACATTAATTGCAGATATAAATGCGCCCAGGGAGGATCAGGAAGAACTCACAGATGCGGGGAAAGAGGAGGAACTGGAGGATTAAGTGACTTTCTCTAGGTCGCGCAGGGAAGCAGTATCACAACCCAAGTCCCCCTAGTCCGAGCCCAGCCCCCACCACCCCCCAGTGCTGTTTAGCTTGGAGAAAAGGCCTTGTCTTGGGCGATGAGATGACCCCAGACCCAGACCCGAGAGATGCCCGGGATCACAGCAGGGGCTACACGTGCACACCCTGCCCCAGGGCTCTCCCCCTACTCACCACGTCACCGCTGGGGGCAGTTCGGAGGAGCTGGAAGGTGTTGTTCACGGCCAGCCCTCGGTTGTAGAAGTCAACGGCCAGGGAAACGGCCTCGTTGAAGTTCAGCTGAGACTGTGCAGTGGCCGCGGAGGCCATGCATCCCACCAGCAACACGAGCGCCCAGCAGCTCTTCATCCTCGCTCCGGCTTCTCCGGGCCGTATGCAGTGCCCGTGCCCAGCACATCGCCCGTTCTTATACGCCGCCTTTTCCGTTGCTTTGTGCAAGGGCGATTATTAGCTAACCCCTGCTGTGTGCGGGGCTGTGGCTTTCCCTTGCTCCCACAGGAAATCTTGATTGGCCAACAGGCCAGGGCTCAAACGGGCAGGGGCTTCAGCATCCCCCAGCTACAGTTTGGTGGGGGAGAGAAGAAAGTGAAGTGGGCGGTGCGGGGGGGAATGCACAACTGCAAACTGAATAAAACCACCTGATGCCTCAAGAGCTGCATCCCTTACAAGTAGCTTGGGAAGAGAGGAATTGAGAAGTGATGGGCCGGCACCAGGCATCACCCATCATCGCTATGGGGCTGTCGGGGGATGCGTGCCCAGCTGCTCCATTGACCGGTTCCCGACGGACCTGCCTTCCCCGAATCGCTCTCATTCCTGGTTGAACCTCGCTGCGTCTGCACCCGCTCGTGGCAGCCACCTCCGCAAGTTCACTGCGCAGCGGGTACAGCAGGTCTTCCTCCTGGTTGTTTGAAATCTGCCCGCACTGCCCCTAGTTCTTGTATTCTTGGCAAATAGCAGTTCCTTATTCACTTTATCTTCTACCTGTTATGACTGTGTAGACCCCTGTGTAGCCAGGCATCCTCAATAATCATTTGCACATCAGATTTAATAGCAAGTCTTCTGCCTGGCCGTCCATCATTAGAGCACGGATTGACAGCGATGACTGCTCCGGTACCTCTTCCGAAGCCAGGATGAGGTCAAGGGGTGGGGTGCGG